TGGAAAAGGTCTAAGTCTATAGCAAAGCAAGATGATTGTGATGAATAGGAAACAGAGGGCCTGTCAGAGGAGTAAATCAGTTAGTGAGTCAATGGAAATGGCTTTGATAAATGAATGGATGTCAATATTAAATCAATTGGTGGGAAATATTGTTATACTCTGGGATAAGGATAATAAAATACAGGATAGCTGTTTCGTTTGAGTTAAACTATGATTTTCTAGTCAAGCAATCAGCTTCCTGTGATGACTGCAGTTTTTTGTTTGCTTGCTTTTTGGCTTTACTTGAAGGGAAATACAGCGATCCCCATTTTATGTGCTTCAAATAGACTTGCTTAAATCTCTACTGGCAGATAACTTGGCATGATGTTTATTCTGCAGTAATAGCAGTACAGTACGCCTAGCATATATACTAGTACTGCAACTGTGCTGCTGAAATAAAAGCATTAGAGACAAGTAGTAAATATGTCATTTTGTTAGACTGTCTTTGTCCTGTATAGCTTTACTTATAATTCAAATTACCAGGTTTAGAATGCTTTTTCTATTTGCATTATTTCTTGATGTAATTTACCAGTCAGTGTAAGGTAGGATATTCTTGTTTTACAATTAAGCTCTAGTTATTCTCCTTTTCCCTGCAATTTCTGATAGTTAAAAGTTGCTATAGTAGAATTTGATTCTATAGTTACAAGAGCAATTTAGTATTCCTAAATGATAATGAAAATTGCATGGCAGTTGTCCAAATATTCAGTTGTATAAGTATATTATAATTTATACAGTTCTTTGCAACTGAAATAAACTGTCTTCTACTCTGTTTGCGTGTCAGCTTAAAAAAAAAAAGTAAATCATGCACCCTCTAAATACTGAAATCGGTGAGATTTGTTTCAATCTGAGAGTAACATTTGTCCCCAAGACAGTGGACACTTTCACAGAAAGACAAACCTCCTCCAAAGCCTTCACATTCCTAATGGCGAGGACTTTTATCAGGTATGCAAATAATGTGAGTCCATTTTCAGTTTTCCTTTGTCCTTCATCCTACCACAGGATGATTTTCTCCACCTGTTAGTAGCATCATCTCATTGATCAAAATATAAACTCTAGGAACTTGCGGCTTTTTTAATGCCATATTTATTTACTGTAGTGTGCTTCATCAGCCCTCGTCCCAGTGGAATTCCTGATGTTTTAATATTTAAATTAAGTAGCATTTAGTTTATTAAAAAAAAAATTGGCTAAAGTGCTTTAAAGTATGTATTAAAAATGTTCATGTGTTACATGAGAACTGACATTTCTAAATACTTTTAAAGCACTTATATTCAGTATAGGGCAACCAGGGCATCAGGCCCAGCCAACACGGGTTCATGAAAGGCAGGTCCTGCTTGACCAACCTGATCTCCTTCTATGACCAGGTGACCCGCCTAGTGGACGAGGGAAAGGCTGTGGATGTGGTCTACCTGGACTTCAGTAAGGCCTTTGACACCGTCTCCCACAGCATTCTCCTAGAGAAGCTGGCGGCTCACGGCTCAGACAGGTGTACTCTGCGCTGGGTAAAAAACTGGCTGGACGGCCGGGCCCCGAGAGTTGTGGTGAATGGAGTTCAATCCAGTTGGTGGCCGGTCACGAGCGGTGTTCCCCAGGGCTCAGTGTTGGGGCCAGTTCTGTTCAATATCTTTATCAATGATCTGGGCGAGGGGATCGAGTGCACCCTCAGTCAGTTTGCAGACGACACCAAGTTGGGCGGCAGTGTTGACCTGCTCGAGGGTAGGAAGGCTCTGCAGAGGGACCTGGACAGGCTGGATCGATGGGCCGAGGCCAACTGTATGAGGTTCAACAAGGCCAAGTGCCGGGTCCTGCACTTCGGACACAACAACCCCATGCAGCGCTACAGGCTTGGGGAAGAGTGGTTGGAAAGCTGCCTGGCGGAAAAGGACCTGGGGGTGCTGGTTGACAGCCGGCTGAACATGAGCCGGCAGTGTGCCCAGGCGGCCAAGGCGGCCAATGGCATCCTGGGCTGTATCAGAAATAGTGTGGCCAGCAGGAGTAGGGCAGTGATCGTGCCCCTGTACTGGGCACTGGTGAGGCCGCACCTCGAATACTGTGTTCAGGTTTGGGCCCCTCACTACAAGAAGGATGTTGAGGTGTTGGAACGTGTCCAGAGAAGGGCAACGAGGCTGGTGAAGGGTCTGGAGAAGAAGTCTTATGAGGAGCGGCTGAGGGAACTGGGGTTGTTTAGCCTGGAGAAAAGGAGGCTGAGGGGAGACCTCATTGCTCTCTACAACTACCTGAAAGGAGGTTGTAGCGAGGTGGGTGTTGGTCTCTTCTCCCAAGTAACTGGCGAAAGGACGAGAGGAAATGGCCTCAAGTTGCGCCAGGGGAGGTTTAGATTGGATGTGAGGAAAAATTTCTTTACTGAAAGAGTGGTTAAACATTGGAAGAGGCTGCCCAGGGAAGTGGTTGAGTCCCCATCCCTGGAAGTATTTAAAAGACGGGTAGATGAGGCGCTTAGGGACATGGTTTAGTGGGCATGGTGGTGTTGGGTTGACGGTTGGACTCGATGATCTTGGAGGTGTCTTCCAACCTTAATGATTCTATGATTCTATGACTCTAATATCCTATGTTCCCCTCTTCTGGGGAAAGGCAAACAATGGTCATAAGACTGTTGTGTAAGACAGGTCATAAGAAAAAAGGCAAAATGAAAGGAGAAGACGTTTTATAAACTGATGGCAGTAGCTGCATGAGCAGGCACTTCTCTTTATCCTAGGGTTCATTTTCGTCATTTGTATTTGAGGCAGTGATAATCTATGAGATACTGCAAAGGGGCATGTAGCAGCTGTCCATCAGCTAATGCTGGCTGCCGCACTGTTAGCTTACAGTTGTCCCCTTTCTCTTACAGTCTTGGCTGTATTTTGGAGAAAGTATTATGGAGAAATGGAAACGCTATTGCATTTTGTAATGCTGTTCCATGCTGTAGTGTCCCAGTTTCCCATACATACCTGTTTGCTGTTCTTTGCATGTGTATTTCCATGAAGGTTTCTGATATCAGTGTTCCATTATAGACTTCCTGTGGCACAGGAGAACATGATACACTGTTATTTGCTGTAGCTTTTATTTTCCTTTTGTTTGCTGGTTGTGTTTTCATCTTTCATGTGCTATTATTAAGTCAATGAGTTGGGCAAATTACCGCACGTGATCCTTTTCAAACTCCCTTTTAATATCCCCTGTTTATTTTTAGTGTTGCTAGGTTAAATGGTTCTGTAACTATATTTGTTCAGAGGCTACTTCAAGGATGCTAATTACATTGATACCAGGTGGGAATTCCCATGGGATTTTTTCCAAATGTTATCTCTGTTTCTTGTTTCTTTATGAAAGTAGAAAGTGTTGCCTATAGAAATACAGATATTGAACCAGAGCTGTGGAGAATATTAAAAAAAACTGTGTTTTATGTGATTGCCAGTTTCTACATAGCGTTTAGTGGAGAACTCAGATTTTCTTTTTGGTATGATTTGGGGGACTGCAATGCAGCAGAACATTATATTACACAAAGCTCTATTATGTCGTATGAATAGACAGACACGTTGTCAAGAGATTTTTTTGATCCATTTAGATGTATGTGGAAAGCACTTCAAATAACTAAGTAGAACCAGCTAAGGAAGCAATAAAAATGAATAATAGTGCAGTATAGTAAACACAAAATGGGCTAATTATAGTCTGAAATCAAATATTGAAGTTGGATTTCCAAATTCTTGGTGTGCAGCTGTTCATTCTGGCTCTAGAAGAGAACAGGAATTGCAGTCTGCAGCAGAAGGAAGCTTGTTGTGCAGAGGATCCAATACTGTATCCTTTGTGATCCCAACTGGAAAGGACATTGTAAAGATAATGCAAGATGGATTCAGCCAGATTTACTGGCATATATTTGTGGGGCTCATCAGCTTTTTATCTTTAGCTCTCTTCTTTCCTCTTCCCTTTGCCTTAGTTCTTGTCTCCCACAGTATTTTGTGAATATGTGTTATAGGTCATCTACTTGAGTAATTGTCAGTGTGGTTAACCCTTTCACTTTGTTACAGACTCTGAAGTGGATTATCAAACAAATTTCAAACCTAAAGCATTCTAAAGAATGGTCTAAAGACCTAAAGTCGTCTTCTGTGGAATCTTGTTATTTATTAAAATCTTTCAATGCTATAGAATTAGGTTAACCTTCTGGTTTTGTGATTTTAGGTTCAAACCTGCATCTAGAATAGAGCTTGGGACTTGCAATTCAGAAAAGTTTCAGTTATATTGCAGTCAGTCGCTGTGTTTATAAGATGCCATTGGCACAAGTGGCATCACTTCTCATCAGACTAGTGGGGACTAGGTGGTGCTTGAAGCAACACCACCACCACCACAATTCTCAATGCTCAGCAAATAGACATCTCTCTTCTAAACAAAAGACAATATAGTGATCTCGTAGCTTATCAGTGTGAGACTGAAGTTCTGGCTTAATTCTTCAAGAAACTTCCTGCATCATTTTGGTCAACTTCTTTGTTTTTCCATTCCTCAGCTCTCCATTAGGAAAATGTCTGTAACAATTTTGCCTACCTGCAAGTATAAGAAAGTTGTTCAGATTTGGTCATGAAGTGTTTAGGTATCATGGTAAAAGGGTCCTGAGACCCTGTAAAGAGAAGCACCACCACAAGGTCTGGACTTTTGTGTGTCCTTCCTTCATTTCATTCTCAGTTATGTTCTTTAGCCTATTTGGAACAATCAGTTGAAACCCAGAGGTTTCCCCATTTTCCTCATGGGAGTATGAAAAATAGGAGATTGCTCATTTTCTTGCACCTCAGTAAAGTTAAGACAAAGTTTTAAAAAACAAGACAAAACCAACCGCGTTATTATATAATTTTAAAGCATTGTAAATCAGAGTACCAACCAGCATTAACTCCACAGTATGCATTAATTTCTTCTAAGTTTCTTCTGTTTTTTGTAAAAATGACGCTAATGAAGGATCTAAATAGATTTTGTTTGCTTTGTAGGTGGTGGACTGTGCGTGGGACGAACTAGTCAAGATCTATACGCCATCCTGTCTCGCAGTTCCTGTCTAGAGAGAAAGTGAAGAAGATCTGACACACCAGGAGCCTTTCTCTCTTCCCCCACTACCAGACTTGTGCTAAAGTGTCACCTGTGTCACTGATCTTAGTGTCTCTTTTTAAGTAAAACTCTGCTTGAACAGAGTGTTGTGCACTTAAGCGTGTGGAGATTTTAGGGCTTGGTTTACTGTACAGGTAATACTTGAGCCAGCAAAACGTTCAACAGCTACTGAATGGTCAAAGAGTGGCCGTAGCAGGTATGAGCTGGTGTCTTTACAGTAGAATCACCAACACAATTTTGTGGTCTGTCTGGCTAATGATGAGAGCAGAGGCCTGAATATTCTCGATCCTTATAAAGAATAAAAGTAACTGGCAGTGTATTTTGAGATAATGTCACTGTAGAAAAAAAAGGAAAAAAGTGGCTTTTCACTGTAAAGTACTGTAATGTCAGCTGAGGTTTGTATCACTCAGATGCATTTATATGTTTTGCTGTGACTCACGTTGCATTATATTCTTGTGCAATATGACAAATGCTCTTCATAGACAGTAAATGTCATAGTTTATAGCCAGCTGATTCATTTGACCTTTTTGATTGTCGCTTCACAATGATGGCAAAGATTATTTTCATACTTTTTTCCCTTTTAGATCTCCTTGAGTAAAACGGTTGATGAAGTCATGCAGAAAGATACCCTGATGGTAGAGAAAATGCTTAGGAAAAAATTAAATATATACAACACTAATTGGATCACAATCTCCAAGATTTAGAGATAGGACAACCATCTTTTTTATTAGACTTGTCTTCTATTTTCACTTAGAAAGTTTTTCCAAGAGATGGAAGAGGAATATGGTCATATATTCAGTGTTTCTGGACCTCTGACAGCCTGGCCAAAGTGAGAGCTGATGTCCAGACCACTTGAACCTACATACACACGGATTAACTGCGTGGCGTAAGCATAGCAGATCCAGTGTGGCCAAGCTATTATACTTAAAAGAATATGCCCAACATGTTATAGGTAGGTTGAGTACTTTGCATGCCCACTTTGACTCCTCAGCCCACATGCCCCAGAAAAACTCAGATGAAAATACCAGCAAGTAGAGGCATTCAGTTTTTATGCTTCTCCAGTCTCCTTTGAATACTCTTTCAGGATCCAACTGTGATACTCCTGCCATTCTCACTGGTATATGTTAGGCTTCTCTCCTGGTTTCCTGCTAGCCTTTTTTTATTTTTTTACCTTCTTAAAGCTTTCTCACTTCTGCTGTTACCCCGTATCATCAGTCTTTACCATCAAAAGACTATTTGCAGATCTTTGGTTGGGTTTTCATAGTCTCCTGTTAACGACACTTCTGGGTTGCACCACTCATATATCAAGCAATAGCAGACACTGCCAGATACTGCTGGATGCTTTGAAGAAATGAAAGAAAGAATTCAGCGGCGCTAAGACTTGCAAGTTGCAAGGAAAGAATGATTGTGCTTTCTTGGAGAAAGAGCCAGGGAACTTGCAGGTAGCCACGGGGAGATACGCATATATCGATTCGGTGTTAGGGCAAGAAAGAAAGAAACCTCTTCTTCAACATGAGAATTTGGATCCTGATAGGGCCTTCTATTTTTCTGGGTCAGTGCAAACTGACGCAGAATGCCATCTTCTCGAGCTGAATTAATAACAAAAAGTAGATTTTCTTTTTTGTTAAATGTGTTGCACCAAATTCCAAATGTTTACTGCACTTTAATTCTGTGTGCTGAGGAATGATGCAATGATAAAGCTGTGCTGCATACAACTTTCAGCAATACCATGGGCCATAAAATCTAATTTTAGGCATTAAAATTGATTATTTCAACCGTAATAGTTACTCCACTCTTCTGCTTTATCTCCCTTTTCTGCTTAGACTACAAGTTACATGTATATTTTATATGCGTGTTTCTGGGGTGAGGGAGGGAGGGGGATATTCCAGAATGCTGCCATAGCTGCCTATCAGTTGGAAGGGCAAATTCAGAAAACCTAGCACAGGGGAAGAAAACCATGGAATTCTGAACACGCACACTCAACATGTGGATTAAACCTTTTCTTAACTGCCTTCTCTCCCCTCATGTCCTGGTTAGCTTCAGTGCTGAGGGTTGCTGCATCTGGATTTAATTCTCTTGAAAAATGAGCACATCCAGAAGATGCACACAGTAAATAAAAACCGTGGCCTTTATCTTCCTGCGTGATCTTTGAATGGAGAGAATGTGCTGTAACATTTCTGCACTGTAACAGAAAAACCAACCTGGCAATAGCTGCTGATTCTTAATTCTCAGGGAATGTTTGCTATAATTGTTTTAAAGAAATACTTTTTATTTTATGACCATAATACTAACTTCTGATCTGGAACAGGCCTTTAATGACAACAGTCTTAAAGATGTAATGTGTTCTACTTTGAACTTGCTCCTGTGGAAGATTTTGGTTTATGGGAGCCCATAGGTTTCTCCTTGGTTCAAGAAACATACTGATAATCGTGTTATAAAGGAATGGATTTGCTGTTCTACAATGCTATTAAACAAATTGCACACAGTATCTTTGGCTACACTCTCGTATGCACTTCCCCAATTAAGAAACATTGATCAAAAAGTAAATGCAGTGAAAGATACTGAGAGTATCTTATAAGTAAAGAGTATCGTAATCATGGTTTATGTCTTGTACGAATACTGGGCGACAGTCGCATTTTTCCTTTGTGCCTTTAGAGACCATACTTTATGCAACTTTGCCTAGCTGTATGTCCCATCAGGTCTGCATTTTGATAAAGGAAAACTATTCTAAATGATTCTTTGTGTCTGCTTGTGCAGACTACATGTCAGTGATGACTTCTAGCCCAGTACAGTGCTGGCCTCAAATTTTGCTGCATAGACATGGGTGTACTAAGCCTTTCCGTAGTACTGCTCAGTTTGGAATGTGCTTAGGGTCACGTGATGGGGAATGGATACAACTCTGCACAACGCTCCGCCTATGTACCTCATGGTTGCATTAGACCCTAATTAAAGCAATTTAAAAAATAATGCCCTTCAGAATTTGACACCAATTTGCTCCACATGTTTTTTTTCCTCTCGCCCACGTCATTGTACCTAGGTGAAATGCAGAGCTGAGCATAATTTGCATCAAAGGATTAGAGTTAAGGCATCATAATCATCTCGTTACTGTAAGGAATCACAGAGCTATTCATTACTATGATCTGTGCTCCACTGCTAGGACAAAATTTTGTAACTGAGTCAACTTACGAACTGAGCACCCGCTGCTGTCTCTGGCCACAAGAACAGCTAGTGTGAGGGAAGTACCTTCGCTGCAGTGTTACCTCAAATGATGTCCCTGTGTTGCTTCATCCAATTCCTTCCCAGTGAAGTGCAGAAGTTGTCTTTTCTGAGTGTGGAGTGGTGGAGAGACAGTGGGAGACTAGTACTGTGCCTGGCCTGAATCCATGTTGAGAACGGGGTGGTTTGGCAAGGGACAGCACCTTCCCCTCCACCCCCTCCTTGCTGTGTATAGGCAAGACTAAAATTAGGAGCACTGTGAGAGATGTTGCAAGAGAAGCTGGCCTGGCAACACAGGTGAGTCCCAAGAGAGAGGATATGGTACTTGAGATATGGACGCTTGAGTTCCCAAATTTAGCATTGGTGCAGCCTCACCTTGAATACTGTGTGCAGTTCTGGGCCCCACAATTTATGAAGGATGTGGAGGTCCTTGAACGTGTCCGGAGGAGGGCAACAAAGCTGGTGAAAGGGCTGGAAGGAATGTTCTCTGAGGAGCAGCTAAGGACTTTGGGCTTGTCTAGTTGGAGAAAAGGAAGCTGAGGGGCGACCTCATTGCCCTCTACAGCTTCCTGAGGAGGAGAAGGGGAGAGGCAGGTGCTGATCTCTTCCCCCTGGTATCCAGCGATAGGACACGTGGGAATGGTTCAAAGCTGCACCAGGGGAGGTTTAGACTGGACATCAGGAAGCACTTCTTTACCGGGAGGGTGGTCAAACACTGGAACAGGCTTCCTGGAGAGGTGGTCGATGCCCCAAGCCTATCGGTGTTTAAGAGGCATTTGGACAGTGCCCTTAATAACATGCTTTAACTTTTGGTCAGCCCTGAATTGGTCAGGCAGTTGGACTAGATGATCATTGTAGGTCCCCTCCAACTGAAATAGTCCAGTCTAGTCTAATTCTTATCCTTCTTATATGCTTGTTTTCCTGTTTCAATCAGGGAAGTATTTAGCCCCCAATGCAGACTTGCAACTTGATCCTCTGCAATGTCGGAGACTCTCTTCTCTAGTGATAATTTCACTGGTGAGGGGACAAAATTGTTTCTTCCAGAGGTTACGCTTAGGTGGAGTCCCAATTACTACAGTATTTCCAGAAAGCACGATTAGATTTTTTTCCATCTGCACTTACTTGGCAGAAGGAGCTTTTTTCCTCCCATGTGCAAACACCGTCACAGTGATCCACGCGTTCCTTTAAATTGTGCTCTGTGTGGGCTTGGGATGAGTCCAAATGGAGGTTGGTGTAAATGTGTTGGCACAGTTCTTCAGTGGGTTTTGAAGCCAGACTTGGTCTCCAGTAAGTTTAAATGAGAGTTTCAACCTTTATATGCCTTAATATTTCAGGGCGCTTAGCTGTGAGTTTACATTTTATGCTGCAGTGCAGCTGCTGAAGCGGGTGAAGGCCCCCAAGGTGGAGCACCCCGTGACGCTAGGGAGGCCATCGCAACTGACGTCATTTTGCCTGAAAACAACTGGGTTTTGGTGCATGCTTCCTCCCCATGCTGAGTTAGCAAAGATTAAACTTCCAGGTATCCTGATCACATCCGTGGCTTTTGTGACTGAGGTAACCTGCGAAATTCAGACAGGTATTACTCTTACCTTTTAAGGAGGCATACACACAGAGTCCTGGGTCTTTTCAGTGTTTTAGTATTTCACTCAGTGGAGTTTTTAATCAATAGAAATGTAAGTACTCGAATTTGTTAAAACTAAAGATTTGCATTTAAAAAGAAGATTAAAATACAACTGCCTTGGTGAGAACAAAATGGAAAATAAACTATCGTGGAAAATAATTAGGGAACACTTAAAGACAAAAGAGGGAAAGCCAATTTAACATAGTAGATATCAGGAGAATCCTCCCATAGCTTCTGTAAAGATGAAAAGAGGTGAAGAAGGAAAAGAGAGGCTGCAGTTTTGACTCAGGCGAGTATCACACTGGTCCTCAAGAAGTCAGTCTTGTTCTTGCATTAATGTCAGGCTCTGTAGTGGGAATGGGGAAAGGAAGGAAGGTAAGAAGAGGCAAGGCAAGAAAGGAAGCAAGAACAGTAGCCTGATAAAAAAAAAGAATAAATTGAAGAATTAAAAATAAAAGGCAGGCGAGCTGGAGACAGCCTCTGGTGAGAAAGAGTATTTTTCCAGGAACACATTTCAGAAAGTAGAGCGAAGCACTGCTATGTCTGCATCAGTCACAGGGAGGTTCACCAGCGGCTGCTGGCCTCCTGGACAAGCACGGCCGATGGCATTAAATGCAGCACGGATTTGCACTCAGCTCCTGGCTTCTGGAAGCAGACTGCAGGTTAGCTTTCCAAACATCCCTTCTGTCTCCATTCACATTTACCCCAATGGCTGAAAAAAAGAAGTTCCTACAGTCTTTGCTTAGAGAATAGTATTATTTCTCTTCTGGCTTCCCTCTGTTTAATTTCAATGCTACCCATGGTTTCCTCTCCTTCATTACCAGTTTTCATCTTCAAATAGTCATACCTTAATGTGTACCTCTGTTGTTCCATTTTATAAACCTTGCCCTGCCTCCTTGCACTGCCTGTACCAGCTCCACGGCTAGTTGTAACCCAGGAAATTCATAACGCATCCCCTTTGGTGCGACCGATCCCCGTGACCACTGAGGGCCCCTTACTGCACCCAGCAATAATCCTGGGCGTACGCGGCTTCTCTTGGTTCGGATGAAAAGCCCACTGCTGCGGGTCCGGTGCGTTTTTCCTGCCACTCCTCCACACTAGCGCGGTCATTTCACGCACACTCGCTTGCCTGGCGGTCCCAACACCTGCCTCGCTCTTGTCGAGAGCTGTTGGCATCAGCACCCCTTTCCTGCGGTTGCTACAGGTCTCACCCGAACACCGAGCTGTACTTTCTGATAAGAGTTTCCAACGTGACGACTGGGACGAAGTATAGCTGGCTTTGGAAGCTGGGTATGTCTAGCGAGGTCTATGAACTGAACTAAGACTGAAATGTAACATTTTTCTGTAGAAATCTCACAGAAAATAGTTGTGCCTTTTTGATACTGCTGAAACGCATGCCGTGCTCGTGCTAAATTCCGTACAAGCCCGCCAGAACTGGCGGTCCTTGTCAGGATCTGGTCCACCCTTTTTATGGTAAGTTTTCCAAAAACAACCTTCGGCTGTCAAGTGTGCCGTTTTCCCCCAAGCAGGTTCTTTCTAATACCGTTCCTGTGGAGAGAGGGGGAGGCTGGTTTTGTTTAAAATAAAGAGTACCTTTGCTAATCTCATATCGATGGGTGAAAGGTAGTCACTGCTAATGAGAGAGACCTACATGTATGATGTTAAAAGAAGGCTCAAGATTGTAAGGCAGCTCCAAATAAAAGTAGTTTTTAATTCCCTTAAGCTGCCTGACACTGCAGCAGAGTGGTAGAGGACTGGCTGTCCGAGAGGAACTGCTTTTGCTTTTCCTTAGAGTCGAGGTGATCTACCGCAGACTCCTGTTAAAATCTTCATCTGGCAAGTCAGAGAAGGGATGAGCTTATTTAAGCTTTACCAGGCTTTAAAACATCACTTTCGAAGACTTTGTGTGGTTACCGATTTTTAGTGACTTTTCAAGGAAAGTCCCCCCGCTAGAAACAGGTTCTCCCTCCTTTCTCAGCAGCGGTTCCCATCCCTCCGCCTTCCCCGCCCGAGAAGGGGCTCCCTTTGGCGAGCGGGAGGGCGAGCCGGGGGAGGAGGCCGGGACCCCGAGGCGAGGAAGAGGGGGGCTGCAGGCGGGATGCCGCCGGTAGGCAGGGTGGGGGCTTTCTCCTGGGAGGACGCACGCTTCTGGGGAGAGCACAGCGGTACCGCCGTGCTTGTGCACGCGTGGGGGGGCTTGCAC